ATTATTTGTGATAACTTAAAAATAGTTGAAGTAAATATAGGTTATACCAAAATATATTTAGGTCTAATTGTACTAATATTTTTGAAGTATTTTATCGACAGAACTTATATAATAGTATTCATTTTAACCTTATCTAAACTATTTGATTAGTATTCTGTTAGTTCTTTATTAAGTATTATTATACTATTTGGAATTTGTCTGTTAATATATTTTGAAATTAAATGTCAACTAGTCTAATAAAATGGAATTATTTTCTGAAATGAGGATTATATTTGGTATCTAAATCTAAAAATTATTTAATTTTATTTCAAATTTCTAGTAAGATGTTGTTATTAAATATTAACTAATTCTTGAAAAATTGCTTCAAAATAATTTATATTCAAATTTACAATATTCTAAATTTTTATGAATATATACTGTAAAAGTAAGAATCAAAATTTAAATTTTTTTTCGTTATGCATAAAAATCATATTAGTAATCATGCAAATTATATATATTAGATTTTTTAATTGCTATCTTCATTTTATTGATTGCTTACCTTTGAATATGGCTTTGCTTTTCGATTCTAATAGTGATGATTCAGTTGAAATTATAGAGGTTGTAGATTTAAATAAAAATGATAGACATAAGGTTATTATTTTTAAAATTTTCTTTTAATATATTGTAATCATTATAATAATTTATTATTTATTTCTTTAGAATATAAATAGTGATAGTTCTATTGAACAAATTGCATATTTTACAAAAAATTTAACAGCACAACATGTTCAATTTTCAGCCATTTCAGTAGAATATGCACCTACTGACCCAGAAGGCTATACAATTGTTTATAACTTCATTGAAAGTAATAATTATGATAAAGCAAATAATGATCAAACTCAAAAAGTGATGAAAGATAAAGCACATACTGTTTTTCGTGATATAATATATTTATTTAATTTATTAAACCAATTTTATTTTACTTGATATTTTTTATTCTAACTATTTTAATCTTTCAGATAAAAATAAAATTATTATTAGTAATTTAAGAGATTAAAATAGTTAGAGTAAAAATTATTAAAGTAAAATAAAATTATTAAATTTTTATTATATTAAATAATTTACATATATTTATTTAAAATTAATTATATTTTTTAGATCCAATATTCACAAGGTGGAAAAGGTGGTGCCTCATATGTAAATTGTCTTTTTTTCAAAAGTTATAATAATAAACAAATTCAGATTATGAAAGATCAAAGAACATGCGAAGGAGTTAAAATTTGTCCTCATGCACATAATTATCTTCATGATTATATTCATACTAGTATTAATTTTGACTCAGATATCTTTCAATCAATTAAAAGTAATGAAGAATTACAAAGTACTCAAGTAAAAACATTAGTGTAATATTATTTAACAATTTATAATTTGTATTGTATTTAATATTTTAATTGTAATTAGAATATTTTATTTTAATTTTCTAATTACAATTAAATATTATTAAGAATTTATTATTTAGGTGGCACAAATAAAATTAACTGATTTTCATAACTGGCCGGGTCTGAAAATAGAAAATTTCAAAATTTTATTTTATGCCGCAGCAAGTAGATAGCCAGTCATTTTATAACATGTAAAATTAAACTTTAAAAGAT